AGGCTAGCTTAAATTAGCCCATACCGGATGGCTTCTCAGACAACCCATATTACCAGTTGGCTTGTTGGACTAGCCACATACGATTAATAGAATAATAGATAGACCCTCAACATAACCTGATATTACAAAATAAAACACAAGACAGAATTACATATATACTAAATATCCTCCAATCATAATTAGAAAGTACTTACAATAATCTCTGCTGCCATTCATTGACAATGCTTCCATCAATGCGTGTCCGACTATCTATATAAATTTGTGCACGAGTAGGTGCCACCCCATGGGCCTCTTTTATCTAACAACATGAAGGTAAAATAACTTCAAACAATATACATATACTGAACAAAAAATTTATCATCATTACTGCAAATATGTAAAACTAACCTTCTCTTCAATGAGCCTAGGGAATCCTTTTGTGCCAATGTAGTGAAGGTGTTCTAGCTTGGCTCGATTACTTTTATTAATTTGGCTAACTTTCTACAAAAAGAATAACAAAATAAAAATAGTTAAATATTAATGTTTAAATTAACTCGTGATAAATATAATAAATTACTCTACCTTTCCCTCCTCAGAGCACCAATAATGAACCAGTGTACGATATTGGTTCCCATTTACCTGATCACCTGGAACATTAGCAGCCATTTCTTCTTCCGTTTTACTCTCATCATACCCCTTTGCTTTTATTTCATTCTTCCATTGCCTCCACTTGTCATATATAATTTGTAGGAGTAGCTTTTTTGTTTGTTCAGTGCATCTATGCACAAATTGAAACTTTGACTATAACCAATGACACCAAATTCAGACTTATCATCATGAGTATCAAAACTTAAATAACTAACTTAGATAATCTTAAACAACTTTTATACCTCTAAGAGTTGTCCACATATCATCTTTGTAAGTCTGGCGTCCATTTTATATAGTTGATAAGTGCAATAAATTAGGTTACCTAAAGAGAACAATTCATATCATTTAAGCCTTTTCTCAACTATTTGGATCATCCATGCATATCTTGCTCTGCTAATAATTCCTCGAATCCTCCCTTAATGATTCAAACCACATCCTTCTCATTCTTTCATCTTGTCATTTTCAACTTGTACAAAGACACTCCTTGGTCAATGGTCTTTCAATGCAAATGAATAAACCATGTCAATCAACATTTTCATATACCATGATCTACTTAGGTGGTGGGCCTGGTGGCAAGTGGCATATTGTGGCTGGATTCCAAATTGACAGACCTCAAAGGGTGGCAGATTGGTCCCCTCCTGCAGATGGGAAGGTTAAACTCAACTTTGATAGATGCTGCCTGGGAAATCCAGGGGTTTCAGGTGTGAGGGTAGTGGTTAGGGGTTCATTGTGGCAATCTAGGTCTCAGCTACTCAGGCTGGTTGGTAAGGGCAACTTTTTGAGAGCTGAGTTATTGGATTAAAGGTCTAAAACTGCTGGCAATTCAGGGAATGGGGAATGTGGAAATGGGAGGTGATTGCCCTTTTTGTACTTACCATTCATCTTTAAAATGTTTCCATTAACCTTATAAACATACACAACTCAATTAAACTCAGCCATAAACTTAAGACTACATTTTTTTACTTGAGATTTGAGAAATAATTCACGTTTCAAAACAAATTGCCTTCCCCAATCACTATGGTGTCGAGCTGGACTACTAAGAATAAGCCATAAATTCGGAACATCTTTGTCTTACAGGCCCTTTTAAGCTTTGATTGATAACTTCTGAACTAGCTAAGTACTGAAAGCTGAATGAGAAAAATGGCTTAAATTCATTAGTATTATATAACTTTCTCCCCTTTTTAGTGGATGTAGGCTAATAGTCGAACTCGAACCATTTAAATTCATCACTTTCCCCTCTGCCCTATTCTGAATCCATGTTGATGTTGGCTGAATGGAACATTTTCATGTTTGGAATATTTTTAGCACTTTGCTTTCACATGCCATTTCAGCAGTCATCAACCGCCATCGTGGACTGAACTTGTGATTGTGACATCTACTCATTCGCCCCGTGGAAGAAAATTAAATATATAAGAATGAGGGGAGCACAATTTAATTTCCATTGTCCTGTATAGATCTTTAATTTTGACAAGTCTAAATGCAAAAACTATTATTTTCAGGGAAGATCTAGGAATCAATTTCCAGGATGTTTTACATTTCTCTTTCTCTCTGTCTGTCTGTCCTTCCTTGGACCTTTAGGATGGCAATCAGTAACCAAATGGGAGGTGGAATGGCAAGAATTTTCTTTTTAGTCTCATTGGTATATCTGGTTGGCACCACCCTGCTCTAATTCTATGGGCAACATCCTCTTTAACATGAATTACTAATTATAGAAAACAAGACATTTTTAGTCTATTTGGTTTCCTTTGTTTCTTTGTGAATCTCTACAATGGTCCATTTTTTTCAATGTTAACAGAATAAGTTTTGTTAAGAAACAAAGGTTATTGGGGAATATATAATGACCTTAATGTCCAAAGGAACAACAACAAAAGACTTGAAGTCCTGCTCTAGAAAATAATACATTATAAAATTAACTGCACTGAACAAACAAACTGCTTTGGTATGGAAGGCTTTACTACTCAATCAATGCTCCAACTTTAGCAAGCCTGCTTGAAATTGAATTAGCTGGCCTAGGAATCCAAGCTAGGTGGGATGACACCTTTTTTTTTTTTTGAGAGGAGAACAATCTCTAAGGCACATGAATGTAACCTCTCATCCACTATAGCAATCTTACTTCCATTACCAACATCTAAGCAATTGGATGCCTACTCACCTACGAGTTCAGCTTTAATGGAATCACCAAGAATAATGCTCAAAAAAGGAAGTTAGGATCTCTCTGACACTGTCTTTGAAATTCCAAAGGCCTTGGATTTCCAAATTAACAGTCAGAAGTCCAACTTTATGTTTAACTGCAGTGTGAGACCAGACAATATTAAATGATTGGTGGAACATGGGGCAAGGAAAGGTCAGAGGTCTCTAAACTTAAATGGCATTCATGATTTGAAACTGAGCATAAATATAAGAGTACAAGTCAAGCAAATGACAAGACGACATTAATATCTTCATAAAGAAGAGGGTTGGTAATTTACCATTTATAGAGATAATGGTCGATAATCAACTATTCTCTCTTTAATTATTGGCTAGATTTTCATCTTTGGAACTTCGGATTGGTTTTAGTTGGATTATTTCCATAAAAAAAAAAAGATTTGTAATCCACATTTGAAATTGAAATTGACTTCATAATGGACCCCACATGGGCCATTCCTTTATGCTAATGGATTTACAACAACAATGCCTAAATGTTAAGACCCATGCACATACTTAAGGGTATGGGGTATGGTCCAAATAGGAGGATCCATACTAATCCACGAGTGAATTTGAGTTTATTGGGGTTGGGCTCATTTAGGAACCCATGAATTTCAATGTTAGAGAGAGAGAGAGTTGAATAGGAATACGATTTGAGCGCTAATTATTTTTATAAAATTAATGAAGGGAGCCAAAAAAATATATCATAGATGCTTTCTTATCATTGATTAATTTTTCATAATTAATGAATTGATCCAAAGAATATAATATATGCTTTGCTTGGAATCTTTATTTGTCAAGGTAGTTAGATTTTTCTTTATTTGAGCTCTCACCAACTTTTTTGCTTCATCTTTTACAATGAAAATGAATTGACAAAGAAGATACCAGAAATGTGTGAAATGTGTATGTCTTCTACCATAAACAAAGACAATCACAAATTCCCTCTCAACTTTATCTCATACAAATTAGTAGCTATCAATGGCTCAAATTGCAATGATGGCAAACTGTTAATGACTTAAGACTTCAAAGTTACAAAATTACCCTCGCAACTTTTAAGGGCACCTTTCAATAAAATTTAAAATACCAGATTTGCCCTTATAGATTTCACTTGGTTCAAAGTTTTTTATAGAGTAAAATTACTTTATTCTTTTCAATTTGATTCAATATTTTTTTTTAATTAAAACCAAAAAGTTCTTTTGGGGGTATTTTAATAAATTTTCATATATATATATATATATACATATCTGGGTAAAGTGGATATTTTTGAAAAATTAATGCATTAGGTAAAGGTTTTCCTCCAAGACAATAACAAATGGGAGGTAGCGACAGGTTTTTTCAATACTATAGGGGAGGTTTTTCTGAGATTGGAACTTCATGGGAAAATTTTATGATTAGGATAAAATACAAAAACCTCCTCGATAGTTTTCCCTATTGGTCATTGAATGAAGGGAGGTATTAGTCAATTTTTTTCAGAAAATAGAAGGGAGATTTTTGCTAAAATGAAACTTAGGAAATTTTTTTATGATTAGCAGAAATTGAGGAGAGATTTTTGTATTTTACACTTATGATTATCAGAAACCCATAGCCCGAGATGTTCCCAATGCATGATAGGATGTATGTGTGAGATGGGTGTGAGGCGCCCTGTGTGTGGAGAAGATCCCGTTTCCTTACACAGTGGGTGTATAGGAATTTGGCAATCTAGAGTTTCATACCGTTCATCCTGTACGACCGTCCAAATTTGGTCGGTGGCTAATGTTTCACGTTTCACCACGCACCTCATCCATGTAACCACGCATGATACCCCTAGCATTTCTTTGCCGTCCCGTTTTCTTCTTGCCACATCAGCAATAAAAAAAAGAGTGGACAAAAGTCATATAGAGGTCATCTTTACTACGACAGTATCGTAACAGGGCTAAAAAAATCAATCCTTTGATTTAATGATATATCCCCATCAGGAGATCAGTTGGGCCACATCTATAAATCAAAGGTTTTAATTTTGTTGTTTCAGCGCAACGCTACGACAGTGTCGTAGCAAAATGTGGTTTAAGTCACGTAGGGATTGAAGAATTATCGAACGTATCGTCGAACAAAACGGCCGTCCAGAATAAAACAGAAACGGCCGTCCAGAAAACCCCGTCGCTCCAAACGAATCGGAGGCGCTCCATGCAGCATAAAACATAAAATAAGGAGGGAGAGAGAGAGTGTGTGTCTATTTCTGTTCTAAGTTCTAAACTCTCACCGGTAAACCCTAAAAACAAATTCGAACCAGTTCATTTTGTACTTCCGGTTATTATTCCTGCAAATCGACCAAACTGAAGCTCGAAACTTCTCGTCTCCAATCGTAAAAAGTCCTCCTCAAATCTGCAGTTGAAGTTTTGATACGCAATCATGGGCTCCGGTGATTTTTTTTTTTAATTTTCCACATTGTTTCATTTTTTTTTTGGTTTGCGTGCAGCTTGAATGGAATTTAATGTATCTGAGGTTCCTCTTTTTGATATTTTGATTTTGATAATTGCTCAATGGAAGGTTATAGATTCGCTTTCGCGATATATTTACGACTTTATGTGAAATTCTGTTAATTGGTGCTCCTGAATCTGTTTGGATACAATCCCTTTGCTTGCATATTCTGTTACCCTTAATTATAACTTTTTAGTGATATAGAGTGTAAGATACAAATTTTTAAGGTTTCGAACTTCGTTGGAAGCAGCAATAGCGAGATTTATCTAGCCACCCGATTAGCTAACATGCTACGTTTTACATTTTATGTTTCATTCGTTTTTTTTGGTTAAATTTGAATTCATACTCTATTCAACTGTAGAATGACTCCATGAATTTATTTGGCATGCTTATTTGCTCTGTTCTACGATTTTGTTGCATAGAAATTTGTTTAGAACTTCGATTTTGTTACTTGTACAGATGCGGATATGGAGGATTATGGATTTGAGTACTCGGACGAGGAGCCAGAAGAGCAGGATGTTGACATCGAGAACCAATATTACAATTCCAAAGGTACTTATTGTGGTTTTACACTTCCGTCATCATTTAATAGTATTGCATGCTTATTTTTGTTTTCGATTGAGTAACTTATCTTTTTCCGATATGTCCTGACTATTGATTTATCTTTTCTTTATCAAGTTACCTAAAATGACCATTTTCTGATCAAACCAAATTGAATGTGCAAGGTCCCTAGGAATAAACTACTTCATTTTACTTATCAAAAAAAAAAAAACACTACATTTTGGAAGGTCAAGTTAGCAAAAGCTACAACCTTAGTCAGTGACTCAGTGTTTCCTAATGCCTTTCCATAAGTAGTGATAGTCGAAGTGGTCTGAGGAGTTATAATGTCTCATTTGCTTAGGCAGTCATGATTTGTGAAACCTAAGAATCAATACTGCTGATCTATATCCCATCATTTATTTTACTCTTTCTTTTCTATACTTCCTGACATGTTACCAAAATAAATGATATAAGAAAGGCAGAAACTGTAACAACATTTTGCCCCAAAGAAAAGAAGAAAAAACAAAAGAATTCTTGTATTCATATAAACTTTTCTATATATCCTGCATGGTAATAAATTAATGATATAGAAGGCACAGTTGTCAAGGCACTAGTGATATGGGAGCAACTAGGTACCTAGGTCCCCAATGGATTCCTTTTTTAAGTAGATAACTTAAATTCTGGGTATTTCCTAAGGATTTACAACAACCAACAATCATTTTTTCACTAATAATTATCAATGGTTTTCATCAAATAAGTACAGACTTCATAACAAAACATAGAAAAACAACATATTCATGAAAAGGAAAAGAACAAAGAAAAGAAAGTCCGAAACATGGAGCTGAGCCCTTGTTTTTGTCTCATGAAAAGAAGTAGAAGAGAATTTTGTTACAAAAAGAAAAGGGAAAAAACTTAGTAAATAAAAAGAAGGCATGATACCCTGTTTTTGTCCTAGAAAAAGAAGAAAAGAAGGGGGAAGAAGATGAAAACATACCTTGGTTGCTCTTGTGTTTTGATTGGATAAAATCTTCAGGTCCTTCCTTGTCTCTTGGTTCAAATTTTGAGGTGTCAATGTGTTCAAGACAATGTTGAATTTGTGTGTTGATCAAACCATAAAAAATAAGAAAATGACAAAAGCTAGCATATGAATTATGAAAACAACTAGGTGGTTAATCATATAAAATTCTGGCTTGATAAATGGTGTGCGAACCTTGCTTTGAGTGAGAGGTTCCCCTCTCCTTTTGAAATTGCTCAGGTCAAAGATGCTGTGGTTGAAGACTGCTTTGACTCTGTTAATGGTGAGATAATTTGGGGTCCTTTTAGAAGAAATCTCAATGATTGGGAAATTGGTCCACTTACTAAGCTATTAAGTTTCATTCAAAGTATCAAGCCAACCCTTCTACAGCCACCTTGTGTCTAGAGAGAACGGAGGTTTCCCTTGGGCTTTAATCTGAAAATTCCCTGCACCCTCGAAAATTTCCTTCTTGGTTTGGACTGCTTCTCTTGATAAATGCCTAACTTCAGATCGGTTTCTCAGAAGGGGGATGCATCTTCCTAGTATGTTGTGCCCTTTTTGCAAAGTAATCCCTGAATCCTCTAATCACATCTTCATCCACTGTAGTTTTCCTCATCAGTTATGGGGAATGGCTTGGTCTTGCTTTGGTGTTTGTTCTTGCCTTCCTGAATTAGTCCTTCAGCTTCTGCAAGGGTGGACTCTCAAGGGTTTGAATGTAAGGGGCAAGCTGCTTTGGAGGATTTTTCCAACTGCTATCTTGTAGGCTCTTTGAAAGGAAAGGAATTGCCGAGTTTTTGACAAAAAAATGTTCTGATGTAGCTTCAGTTAAGAACAAAAGTATAGGCTTTCTGTTTTCTTGGTTAAGTGTACAAAGGGATTTCAATGGTGTCCAGATTTTATCTTTTTTTTTGCAAGCTGGACCTTTTTTTCACTGATTTCTCAGGTCTTTTTGTATATTCCCATGTACAGACTCTCATTGTACACGAGATGATGTTTTCGGTTTTCTTTCTTTTGCAATATAAAACCTTACCTTCTTCACAAAAAAAAGAGAAATTGTGGAGTTGAAACAATTAGCAAATTAAAAATCAAATAAAATTTTGTTTTATTTTCATTTTTTTACATTTATAATTTTGATCTGCAGGTTTGGTTGAAACTGATCCTGAAGGAGCACTTGCTGGTTTTGCTGAAGTTGTTCGCATGGAACCAGAGAAGGCAGAGTGGTAAGTATTTTAGGATACCAAATGTGATTCAAAATGAGGTGAATGGTTCAAAAGATTAAGAACTACTGCAACTTGCTGCTGGTTTCCTCACCTTAGCCTTTTGTTTTGCAAGTTCTTTCTGCCTTTTAGTCTTGAATTGATGCTTGGTACTGAGTACTGAATGTAAAATTGATGAATGAATTGTGGAGAGGATGAAACATTGAATACCAAAAATCCCTCCCTCTCTCTCTCTCTCTCTCCCTTCCCCTCCCTCTGTCCCTTTCTTTGTGTCTCTTGCTCTCTCCCCCTCCTCCCATTCTGTCACATGTTTGCAAAGACATATTTTGAACTTTTGTTGCTTTGGAACTTGTAACAGTTTCAGTCAGTGTGTTGAATACTGAGCTAGGACCAGACAATTAAATTGTTTCATTATTCAAACAATTTGTCTGATGATTTAGCATGCTACATTGTAAATTCCCAGTCCTGGTGGTTATCCAATCTGGTTCAGGATTCACAACATTGCCTATAATTCTAACTCTTAATTACTGATTAAAAAAATTTAAACTCATTTCTTCATCATATCTATCAAACAAATGAGTTATTGTTTCATCTAGAATACACAAGTATATCAGCTTCACCTAGTTATATGCATATTTATGAGTTGATCTCTGAAGCATTTGTACAAAGCAAAATGCTAATTCCATGTGTATGTGGCATATTGCGGTCCTGGAGTTGATTACATCTACTTAGAAGTGTCCTGGAACACCTGTTGCTAACTTGATATTTGACTTTTCAACCCTAAATTTAGAATTTGTACACAATTTGTTTGATGATTGAGCATGAGTTGGTGCATGGGGCTAGAATTTTTTTTTTGTCTAGAAACTAACATGTAACACCCTGACGTAGGAAAAGTTTTAGGATGCTTACGTTTTTTCTTTGGAGTTGGGCCTTAAAGCTATTTTTTTATGGAATTGGTTTAAGGGGATTTTAAGATAAATTTGAGTGTCTTTTGATACTTTTAGATTTATTTTGGGAAGAAATCTTTATTTGTTCTATATCCTTTTCTTTTACAAGCAGAGCCGTTTGTTCAATGGTCACATCTCTGCCTCTGGTCTCTTGAATGACACCTCATGAAATTCACCAACAGTCCAAAGTTTTGAAAGAATCCAGTCATATGCATTCCTTCACTAGTTCTAGTTGTTCTTAAGTTGGTTGCATTGGTTGTTTCTTTTTTCTTCTTTGTTTGCTGAAGTGGCCCAGTTTTCTGGGGAAATTATACTGAAGGGATCTACTTCTTCCATCTTTGTCTTCTTCCTTCATCAAGAACAGATAACCTGTATACCAATCTACAAAATTCTCGCTGACTTGATTTGTCATTGTCCCTTGTGGTTGCTTTTTATTGGGTACCAAAGCAAGGCTTCAGTTCTGACAGACAGTATCCTTGTTGAGGGCACTTTCTGAATGTTCCATTTCTCTTCTGCTGGAACCCCAAGATGGATGACAAATTGGACCTGATTAGGCACAAAGCCAACACTTGAGCCAGAGTTTTACTCCTTGCTTCTTGAAATTGTATTTTTACCTTTGGACTGGTCCACCTTTTAGAATATAAAAAATTCCGTGTCAGGTTTTGGTATCTTAGTTGATCCATCACTTTTGATTGATATACAGGTTGATGATATAGGTTATCCTTGCTTGGCCCACCATCTTTCATATGGTAATGCTCCCCCCTTCTTCTCCTTCCCGGATGATTCATGCCCAGTGGTACTTAGACTTTGTGAATCAGCAGCTGATGCCCCTTGTTCCAGATCTGTCTTTTGATGCTGCGAATGGTTACCATTTGTCTGACATGAGCCAAGAGTCCTTCCTTGCATGTCTGGGAACCAAGATGCGATGCATTTGTGCTATGGATGCTGCTATGTGAAGTACATATTGGGATATTTCTTCAGTCTTTTCCATATGGATCTCTTGGAACCAAGATTTGCAAGAGAGGTATTTGCTAGTTGGCCTACATTAAGAGGAAATACAAAGGCAAAATTTACTTGGAGCTGTGTTCCTTTTGCTATTTGCTGGTAGATATGGAAGGAGAGAAATAGAAGGATTTTTGATGACTCCTTAAAATTGAAGGAATCAAGTTTTAATCCTTTGATTTATCAAAAAAAGGTTGTAATTCTTTGTGGAAAATGAATCATGGAATGGATCCTAATCTTACCAGAATTTGAAGGGGTCTCAAAGAAATCTCTAGGGAATGGATGTTGGTCTTTACTAGAATTAGAATCAGTGGACTGATCCATTGTATTATTCTTTTTTTTTAATGATTTCTGATGTCTTTTTGCTGTCATGTTTCTATCTTTTGGATGTTGAAGTTGGCGTTCTCTTATCACCTCTATGACGTATTGTTTTTTATCAATAAAATTTTCTTTTTTTATTATCAAGAATAGGACTAGTTTGATAATGTGTGTGAGGGAAGGGGTGACCATGGATGATATGAGATTCACTCCGGTGACCCGATGGAAAAAGAAGATCAGAGTTGGTATTTAAGGCATTTGTGTTGGAGGAAGTTAGGACCAGGAGAGGTGCAGTTTTGAAGATGAATGAGTTGCGGAAGGTATTGATACTGTTGAGAGGTAAAGCTACATTGTGGTTTCAAGGTTTATTGGAAGGTGCTATCCACTTGGAGAAACAAGTGAACTGTTAGTATCCATCAATGAGGGAGATGAAACATATTTTGTAGCAGTGAGAAGAAAAACAAAGGCTCTTTTGCTGCAGTTGTTGAACACTTTGGTGAGGGTAAAAGAAGATTGATCTGTTTTTCGGAAGGGAAGCATGCCACAGAATGGGGACTAATTTCTGAGTTGATGCCATAATGCCTGTTTGTGGTGGAAGAGTAGAAGGTTGTGAGGAGAAGATGCAGGTTGAGGATGAGCAGAAAAAATTGGAGAAGATTCAAGGTAGAAATACAGCTAAAGCTTTTACTGGATCACTGGTGCCAAAGATATTGTTGGAAGGGGAAAAAGGGGATTGGAAACAACATTTGCTGCTGACAGCAAAGAAGGGAGGGCTTGACTAGAAAACGATCTTTAGAGCAAGTTGTGGATCTGCTAAAAATCAGAGCTACTGCTATTTTGATGCTGTTTGACGAGGGCAAGGCTATTTTGGATGTTGGAAACAGACAGTTTAAGTTTTCAACAGTTGAGACACATGAGGGAGTGGTGATGGTGTTGAACGCTGGAGCCCTTGATATAACAAAAAATTGCTTGGCAATGGGGTAATCTCATTGAAACTGTTTGGTCTCCTGTTTAATCTCTAGAGGGCCTCTGTCTTTAAGAAGGTTGCATTGGCTGTAGGGGGAGTTTTGGAGGTCTTCAACCTTGTCGATTTTCATGCTACAAAGATTAGAGCCTAAAGTGATGTTGTGAGAGGAAGATGAGAGGGAGAAGATTGAGCTGAGGTGGTAGGTAGACCTGTTCATGGGTTGGGTAGCCCCATGGGCTGGCTTGGATTGGCTCGTTCATGGTCCGACTTGGACAAGATTAAGCCCGACTTTTTTTTTTTTTTCTTGCTGGGCTCAGGCTTTTTGAAAAATGCCCATGCTTGAGCCTGGGCCCAACCTGATAATATTTTATAAATTAAAAATATTACTTATGTTATTCTTTGTTCCTTTTCTCTCTCTTTTTTAAGTCATAGTGAGATATCTTTGCATTTTTGGGTTTTGAGGTAATTTAATATAAATAAATCAGTTTTATTGTTGAAAGAAATAAAAAAAATCTTATTGCCCAACTTCTTGGATGAGCTTCGGGCTTGGGCTTCAGGCTTTATACGAGGGCTGGGCTCGAGCTCGGGCTTGGACCTGAACATGTTTTACTTAGCCCGACTTGTGATCAGTTCTAGTGGCAGGTTGGGCATGTGTGAGGAAAATTTACATGGTCCTAGAGGCCATGTGGAGGAGAAAGTAGCCAACGTGTTAGAGAAGATGAAGGGTATTTTTTTCTTGGAATAGGCAATTTATTCATAAAATTTCATATTCTCTTAACTGCGGGGGGGGGGGGGGCTTTTTGAAGCAACCAATGTTTTAAAAGCGCAAGGGCCAATTTGTGCCTGAGGCGTAAGGTGAGGTGTTGCCTTTTTGAAGCAAGGCATAAAAATACAAACAAATGCTAAAAAATAAAAAAAGTAAAAAAGTTCAAAAAAATCCAAAAATTAAAAAAATGCAAAAAATTCAAAAATATTAAACATAATATAAATAAAAAATATAAACTTAAATTTTAAAGTAAATGTTTTAAAAAACCTATTATCTAAAATTAAAATATATAAACATAACATGTAAAGCATCTTCAAATGAAAATTAAAAAATAAAAGCAAACGTATAAGGCATTTTCAAGCATGTAAAACCCACAATCTCTTTTTTTCCTCAATTGCATTACTTCAAGTAGCTAATGTTGATGTAAAACATATTGCATTCTTGATTCTACGAGTCGCCTCTGTACCATGCCCCTCGAGGCAAGCTTGAACAAGACCATGTTTGGGTCTTAAATTCTTATTTTTCACGTAATAATGATTTTATAACTTTAACTGCCTTTTAAGAAGATTTTTTATTGGAATGAATGAATGAATAACATCAGCAAATAGGGTTCTCGGAGCTTCAGTGAGCGAGCAAAACGAGCGAACTGGAGTAGAGTAGAACCCCTATTTGCTGATGTTATTCATTCATTCATTCCAATAAAAAATCTTCTTAAAAGGCAATTAAAGTTATAAAATCATTATTTTTTATGTGAGAAACAAGAATTTAAGACCATAACATGGATTTGTTCGGGCTTGCCTTGAGGGGTGTGGTCGGGGGCTCTACCATTAGGTTCAGAAAAAGCAAAAAATGCAAAATTTTAAGAAGGCGCACGCCTACGCTGAGGCTGAGGTGCATCAAGCGTGCGCCTAGGACCTGGGCGAGGTGCATACCCTAACATGTGCCTCGCCTGTGTGCCTAGGGGTGTTAATTGGATTGGATTTGGTCCAATCCGATCTAGTCC